TATTTGTTAAAGCAATGATAACATACTCCTTAGCTGGGATGGTTCATCTATTCTGAGGAAGACTACATGACACAACCTTTCAATTCCATCTGACCAAGCATAACTCTGAGATCGTCTTCGTAGAATTGACGGTTGCAAGTGATGGCCGTTTGGCTGCGGAAACATATTTCAAGGCTCCTGCAAGTACTCTTCTAATAAACATTAATTGCCACAATAGAGAGACCAAATCAACAACAAAAGTGACGCATATGCGTTGTCCAGCAATGCATGCGAAAATAACCATTCCGGAGTGATATCCATAATTTGGTGCCCTATTTAAACACAGTATTGAGTAGGTGTAACATAGTCCTCCTTAGCAGAAGGCGCCGCTTCGATCATTGTTTGCCTCCTAAATAACGCAAAACGTAAAATGCATTATAAAATGGCTTATTTTGCCTGCTAGAGGAATCAATTATTTCTCAACCGCACGAAGCGAATTGGGAAGATGGTACTGTGACAGGGGAGATAAGTAATGGGACGGTTGGAGAGCATTGTCAGTTGCCCGGCCATTCGTCTTATCTGATGTGCATGTCCTCCCGTAAACTGCGCAATAGGGCCATCTCACCAGTCTCATCAACGCCTCAGCCCGCCAAGTTCTTAAAATATCCACTCGAAATCTTCGTCTAGCGCACATGACTGCCATTTACATAAATAAAAAAGTTTTTTGGAAACACTGTTCCCTAATCCAAAATTGGTTTCAACTCTGTAGATACAATCATCCAAGTCTGAAGTGGAAAAGATGGTCACATATCAGTCTCAAAGTGGAGGCTTTAGCAGCGTGTCAACACAGCACTTGGGTACCCCTGAGGCACCAGCCTGCAGCGGCAATCCAATGAAAAAGGAGGAGCGTGTCAAGCGCCCGATGAATGCCTTCATGGTCTGGTCTCGGGGTCAGAGACGGCGCATGGCGCAAGAAAACCCCAAAATGCACAACTCCGAGATTAGCAAGCGCCTGGGAACAATGTGGAAGGCATTAAATGAAGCAGAGAAAAAACCCTTCATCGATGAGGCGAAACGTCTAAGGGCGAATCACATGAGCCAGTATCCCGACTATAAGTACCGACCCAGGAGGCGACATCGCCCACTGGAGAAACAAAAAAAGGCTGTCGCAGCAATGGCTGCCGCAGCCTCAGTTACCAGTCTCTTTTCGAATTCAGCTGTGGGGAATCTCACTACACCCACAGAGGGCGACTTCTTTGGACTGCGACATCCGACGGTGCCATCGACAACAGAATATAGATCCTTTCACACTAATGCTCCTTTGGCCTACAATGCATTTAACCAGCCTTTGCAACTGCAACAAAGGCATTCTCAACAGCAGCACCAGCATCAGCAATTTCATCAAAGCACATATGAAGAAAAATTCCCCCACTATAACCGAAGTAGGCAACCCTATGAAGATTTTCAACACCTGAGTAATTCTGACTACTCCAATTTTAACACACCAAATAATAAGACTTCTGAAACATTTCATGGACAGCATGATTTTTCAAAGTCCGCATTCCACATTGGAAGTGGCATCAGTAACTATCCGTCCTATTCTTATACCACGGATCAGGATGTTAAAGCCGATGCAATGCGCTCAGAGCTTGATTCAAAAACGGCTGTTATGGCAGCTGTAGCTGCAGCGAATTACGCAGCTTCAAGACTGGCTTACTGTGGATCTAGTGAGCCACCGTCTAACTACTGGGACGGTTGGTGGAAAGAAAAAGCCTTACCAGCAGCTGAAGGAAATACTTGGGACTCGAGCTCTAGTCAGTGGGCAAGGGCTTTGGAAGAGGCGCGAAAATTTGAGCAGGAAACAGATTTTCAACAAAACAGGTTGAACGATTCAAAGGACTCCTCCCTTTCTTATCTGTCCGCATACTTTAATGGATTCGGTAGTATGATCGGCCTGCGAGATGGCAATTCCATGTTGTGTAACCAGGGTGGTGGTCAGGACCCTGAAGCGTTATCAACCTTTTCAACACCTTCATCAGCTTCTTCAGGACACGAACAACAACCCCAGCACCAGCGACAGCAACAGCGCCATCTAGTCACTCACCCGAGCGCTAGATCGGCCGCTCCACTTACTGACGAGAGACCGTGTTCTTATGCTAATCCAATTTACGCAGCTTTCACTGCCATGGCTGGATTACCTCAAATGAAGGCTGAGATTGACGACTCTTATCCTTCTTCTCCCTCCAAAATCGGATAAACAGGGTCTTCGTGTAAAACAACACCTTTCCACAGTTTGTCTTTCCATTGTGTATGTCGGCTCACGTTGAACACAAATGACCCCTGCGACCCTTGAATTGCATCTTTCTATTCCGTTGGTTCAATGAGTCAAGACTATGTGTACACCAGTTCCTTCTCTGTGATGTGCATATCTGCGGTCATTGTAACTGCCATTACTGCATATTGCTTTTTTAAAAAAACAAAGAACTGTACAGTGCAAAATTTAAAGTCTCAAAAAGGCATTTTTTAAAGGGCAATGAGGTAACTCTAAATTCCATAGCAATGGTGATAGGGACAACAACGAATGACTTTATTATATTTTCATGATGTAATGAGTGGCCTCATATGAAAGAGTTAAATGCTAAAGTATGGGCTGCATTTCATTGCCTGCGCTTCCGTGGAGGAGGGACGCAAAAAGGTGGGATGGACCAGAAGTACGCTATGGTCGTCTTTAGCGACACGTAAAATTGCATTCAGTCTGTAGAGCGCACGAATGTTTAGTAATAATTTAAAAAGAATGTAAAAATGCGTTGGAAGAGAACACTAACTTTAGCCTAAATTGTATCATCTTTGCTACGAAAAATTGAGAAGCTCAAAAACTCGCCATTAACAGCATTCATTGCATTATTATCGCTGTGGATGCAGACGTGTTGTCCAAGTTGTCAGAAGGATGTTCACTCAAGCATACGAGCTTCCCTCTCTCGGAAAAGCATCACTGTTTGCTCATTTGGTGGGTGGGAATCATGCACAATGTTGATTAATTTCCTCTCAACACATAATTCTGGTACTACCTGTGGTGACATGAAGTACAATCAACTCGAGCTTCGTGTGTATCTCTGCCTACTATTTATGCTTGTGCGTGCATTACCTTTCGAGTGGAAGCCGGAAAAGGAGTTTTCATAAGCATGTGATTTAGACGACGTATGATAATCACAATTTATTTTGAAGCCGTTAAGCCCACGCAAATGCTTAGGTAATAGCGCAATAAAGAAGAGCTCGTGAGAGTCCATCCGAATGCAGCGAAATACTTCGTTGACCGAATAAATAAATATATGCCAAAGTGGCTGGAAGTTGCACGCACATTCCACGATTGAGTCGTGCCAGTGCCACCAGAAGTGGCAAGGTAAGGTCGAGATGGTGTGTAAGACTGCAAACAACTAACAGCTCTGTGAGCGCGCTTATTTTTACACGACGCAGATATGTAACGAAGGTGAGATTTTGGAGATGGAGGTAACAAAATGCCCTAAATACCTCACACACTACAAGCCAGTCAATTTATTACCCAAGTGTCAATTCCGCTTTTGGAAGTTGAGGATGTTCTCCAAATAACCGTGAGAAGAACAAAAGATAATCTTGGTTCTAATGAGGGTATAGTACAAATTTATGAACAGCTTAGTTGCTGTTGCAGAAGGGTATAAGGAGAAGCACTGTCGTTTCGATGACAATGCAGTAAAGTGATAATCATACTTCTTAAACGGAAACGTTCTACTCCAAGACCACAGATAATGAAGCTCACCGTATGGTAGTTACTAACGCTTGCAGTTCTTGGGTTCTTTCCTGTGTCTGTAGATTTAACAGAGGATTGGCTGCTCTTGTTTTGTACAAGTCTGTATTCAACCATCAAGATAAAACACGACGATCATTAAGCAAATTAATGGCACTGTACAAAAATGATACTTTAGCCTTCGCTTTCATTTTCGACAGCTGAATGACTCAAGGCACTACATTTGTAAAACTCTGTATGGCTACCGATTTCGGTTGCGGTTGTCCTGTCCGCCTTTCAAGTCAAGCTAAAAGCATCGAATGATTACACTCTGCTTAATAGTATTGCCCCTTATACTCATTTAAGCTAGCAACGAGGATCTCATTGATGCAATTGATGATCCGCTTTATAAACTGCTCCAATTTCTTCGGAAGATGAACTGCGTGTTGCAGAGTAACTAGTTCTACAAATTCACTTTAATGCCTATACAAAACCAATGACCTTCGGTTCTAGCACAAATTACTTTGATCTCAGTGCTCAAGCTAAAATGCACATCCCATGCGTTGAATTTCACACGAGTATAAAAAATTATGGTTCTTGGCCAAAGGATAGCAAAAACATCAGTCGTCAAAACAGCAGCATTAGAAAGCCGTGAGTTTGAAATTTTTTCCTGAGAAATTGAATCTAGTAGATTATGTAGCCCACTAATGCTCAGTTCAATGACACTTTACTCCTATGTGGGTCTAAATGTGATACAGACTTGTTGGTCTTGTATGCCCATGTTCACCATTGGCAGTGGATGATCAGTTCTTGCAGACTGAACGGTGAGTGATGGGCACTCTTATGAACTGCCGAAAAGGATTATTTTGCGTGTCTAAGAAAAGGAAATGCTAATGAAATTGTCACCGCTAAAGACGGCCTTATCAAGAAAGTGAGCGCAGGATTTATACTGATTCACACTAAAAATAAACTGAAATGACTTTGAGAAGAAGTTGAGGAAACTAAGACCTAAATTTGCGTAACTTAGTACTTCAGCAATCACAGAAACCCCATTTGGTTCCTCGTTAGCCATTGTGCAGACTGCACTCGTTGCTTGTTAACCCTCTACTACAGGACTTAGAATTCTATTCGAGCGCTACAATGCGTGGAAATAGAATAGAAACAACTGTTTGACTACATTTGCCATCAGTAGACTACTTCAAGTCCACAAAAAATGTGCCCCAAATCAACATTCCCTAAATAATTAACCTAAGCCTTAACATGCGGCGGAAGAAGGTCATCCCTTTCCGCTGCAGCAATTAGTTTCCTTCTTAACGTGCATAAAAGTCCTGCTTCGGTTGGAGTCAACCACAAAAGATACCTCCTGTTGACCACCTTTGGTGTGATGGCAAACTCTGAAGGGAGGATAATATGAATGCAAATGCGTGCATAAACCCCTTCCATCAGCCGCTTTGCACTAAATTGAGGTGATGACTACGCCACTGACTAGTGAAGAATCTGTGCCGATGCTGACTGACGGAGGTGCTCTGCTACGCTTCTATCGTTCCATTACTTGAAGTTGTTTCCGTGCCTTTGTGGAATAACTATGCATACTCCCAAAAGCGCAAATTCTAAAATTAAAATTTAAGTTGCGAGGAGGTTGCCAACTTTTAATAAAGGAACCGCTGGAGGAGTATAGAACGTGTGAAGAAAAGCCCCGTCGAATTATTGAAAAAGCGCGTTAGCACATGAAAAGTGTAACGTTTGGAGCTGCGGTGATCCATCGATTTGAGAGTTGTGTTCCGCTTGTTTGATCTCCCTTTGTTTAGGGGCAACAATGCGTTTCACCACTGCTCTCCCTCCATCCAGTTGCAGGACGCGCAAATCAGGTAGGTTTCCCACGGAATACAGAAGAAGTAAATTAGTAAAACGGAACTTTCTAAGTGATGTATCCTCTGCTCTTATGACCTCCCCAACAAGGTGAAAAGAAAGGGATGGCGGGTGTCTATTTGAGAAATACCTCTCTCGAAATTGAAATTTATGAATTCTTTGTAAGTTGGTTGTTGGCATTACAACGGCGTTTAGTTCATTACAGAAGGCAACTATGAAGACAATGGCGTACATCTCTGAACATTGTTTAACGGTTTCACATTATAAACGAAATGTGAACGAAAATGACTATAACAATTACTTTATTTTTAAACTACAAGCATTTTGAACGTATAAGACAAGCTGACCAAAACTGCTGAAAGCGTAACCGCGCCCAAGAGCTACTAGATTTCCAGGTGAAACTGGGACTATAGCACGAAATATTTTAAATTTTCGACTCAGAGCGGTCGGAAAAATACCCGATAAATGCGTCAAGAAGGAAATTGCTACCAGTAATACTCAAAGATAATCACCATCGTTTCATTTTTAAAGGCGAGACACATGTAACACCCCCTGCTTTGAAATTCATTGTCCACCCGGGAATGCATGAAATCCTGAGGCAGAACAACTAGTCTCAAGTCGACACTAACTTAACTAATTAACGCTAACCATGGCCACTACTTGTAACACTCAGCAATGACAACCAAAGGGAACGCTCGAAAAAGGTTAACCCAAGTAAACCGCGAACCATGACGACAAAAGTGCAGTAAGTGACTAAACCGAACTGACACAAGGCATCTAACCCTTGACTGCATATGTATTGTACTTCCATGCACTGATTTGGCAAATGTGGAACCAAAACCACAGGAAGGCACAACATTCAGTAGCTGATGAATGAATCATGACCCAGCTGCCGAGTACCTGGACACTTGCCTTAACCCGAGCTCATCATCAGATAGCACAATATGAAATATGGTCTGACATATATAATAACAATTTGGGCACAAATAACAAGTTGGATGAAGAAAAAGGGCCAATGACTACTCTATTCAGTCTTATTTTTTATCACTTTTTGTTCGTGAAGAGGGGAATTCCAGTAGTAGATTATCTGAACTGAAAGTACAATGTTGACAAGAGAACTAACAACAAAGTTCAGAATGACAAGTACGTCACCGGTCTCCTGAACTGAAGTAAAGATACGAGCAAGCGAACCAGCAGTCATAAGAAAAATGGAGATCGCCGATAGCTGACCAGTGCTGCCGTTCCGAAAATTTGTGCAAATTTGTAATCCCTGAAGACAGACTATTAAAGCATTGCTACGTCCAAAGTTACCCGAGAGAGCAAAATGACCGGCGTATTCGCCGCCTGCATTAAGGTAAGCAAAGAGTATTCCACTGCGGATGAGAGAGTGTACGCGACAAAACAGACGTAACCACTGAGAAAGGTAACTCCATGCAGATAGGATATTTCCCAAGATATAGTCAAAAAACTTATTATCGCCGATTGTATCAACAGAAATGTTGCATCTCCATACGTGCTAAAACAGTCAAACATTAAACGAAGTGTACCTGAAAGGGAATTTACGCTGAATGGAATAAGAACTTGTTGCTGTATAACATAAGAGTTCTAAGAGTCCTCCCAGTATGCTAAGTCCCTTAGCACTACCTGTTCTCAAAATCTTTATAATCTGTGGCAATTTTACTGAAGTGGCTAAGATGAGAAACCGAAAATACCCAAAGTTGCACCCACAACAATCCCATATCCCAAACATTTACTAATAAACACTTTAAGACACTCAACTGCAGAGTTATGGAAAGGAATAACAGATACCATTTAAGGTGTCGTTGTGCTCCTTGAATTTGGTAACACAGTCTTCGGGCATAAAAAATGACAACACTAAATCAGCCACGCTCGCCATCCTCAGCGGTGAATGTAAGAACAAGGGGGATCGCCTCAGGGCGATAAAACAAAGAAGTGAAAACAAATGCGACTCGCAGATAGTCACCCATTGTTCTAGATAAAAAGCTATAAAAGTGAAGCTCCAAGTATTTTAAAATATTAATTAAAGTTTGAAAATAGTGGCATAAATAGTCACATTGTCAGCATAATCTTGATTGTTTAAGGATAGATCTCCTTCCTTTTTACAAAATCCACGTATTCTTCTGCAGCATTATGCCGTTCTTTGTCTGTAAAATAGTCTCAAAAGGTTACGATGCTTACCGCAGTAAGCGAACCCGACTTTGAAAGCGAGGCGCACATTCTTCGGATAGAAGACTCTCCCATTTC